TACTTCTCACGCGAGTCTTAACGCGGTCTGTCAGGGTTAACGTGTTCTTCAAAATACACTGTCTATCGTCGAAGAATGACATCACTGCGGCTCAGATTTATGGGAATTTCGCCCCTCTGCAGAAAAGTGAAGCTATCCTGCCTCCCCATAAACTTTCCAGCCGCTTTAACTGGAACTTTCGTCTTCATAACGTACAACAACATGCATACAACAGAACCATCTTTATTATGAAAGACTGTAGCCATTCGAACAGAAACATCAAAAAATTTTCAGCGCATGCCGCCTTTCTTCTGAAGCAGAGGCCAGTCCTCCGGTCCTGCTACTGAACTCAGCGACAAAAACAGTGCCCAGCGGTACCTTTGATGCTTCCCTAGGTCAGAAGCACTTCATTCTTTAAATGACATCCCGACTATCATTTAGCGCCTCACGCAACTTTTGATGTTCCGCAAAACTGAGTATCGCATAGTCTGTTGACTTTTAAGTGACTGAATAGATTCCGGTCATGCCTTTGAATCATAGCATGGCTGAATGACAGGCGCTGTGGAGCAGACAATCACAAAGGCATCACTCATACACTGATCGATACACGTGCAGCTCATTATCCGGACATAATATATGACAAGCGTTGACGTCACTTCTTTGACAGGTACCACCGTGTCACAAGCACGTAAAATTTCACAAACGAATGAAAAGTTTGCTGATATACGACAGACGGTCAATGAAGCATAGGGAGGAACAAAAACGAAGCAGCTCCTCAATGCAATTAACATCAGTCTTTCATGTTGAATCATGTCTAATGTTATAAATAACAGCGCTTTCACATGTACGGCGTAAGCACGAGTATCATACCTGAAAGTTAACTACGATTGTTTACTTGTGTTTCACTGAGGTAGCGACAATTAAAGCTAATCAATCAAAAAGCAAACAACGCGATAACAGCATCTTTTTAATTGTGCCCCTCTCGCAAATAAAGTTCCTGGAATAACTGTTCAAGCTCTTGTTCATCAGGACGGTTGTCGACAATAGGAATGAACTGGCGATCAACCGACGATGCTTCGGAAGCAGTTTCGTCATCGTCTGAGTCGAGACCTGAGTCCGGTAGCTGGGCTGATACACGGTCGACATGCTGAAAAATTTCGCGCAACAACTCGCTCGAAGTTTCTATGGTTCGCTGGGTAGACTCGTTGCTGCTGGCGTCTTTATTCACTGCTTCGGCCAATGCAAGCTGGCCGCCGATTTCTAGTTCCTTCAAACTAAGCTGCAAGTCAGCCTTCTTTATATGCACTTCTTCGAGTTCGTTGCCAACCGACCAAAGGAGTTCGTCGCTAAGGGAAAATCAACAAGTTAACATGAAACGATCAGCGCGCCTCTTACCTGCAACCTTGAAGCCACACGCAGTAGTCGGTGACGTACAGGTCGTTCAATATGTACTGATACTCGCCGCCTGTTGAAAAGATCCGGTGAATGTCAAGCATACACTTAAGCAGAGTGACGGTGCCTAAAATGTAAACGGTCACGATGCTTGCCATTAGCAAGTGCCGGATAAAATGAGGAAGCGTATCAAGTTGTCGGTAAACGAGCATTTTGGAAGATAATTCACTGATGCCAGACGTGAATCATACCAGTCAGTTCTTCAACAGAATCTCTTTACGTATATACTGCATTCAAATAAAACTTTAAAATCACACTGGAGTTTCATCAAACCAACACCGTGACGTAAAACGTATGCTACAAGTCAGTTCAGGGCTACATTAAAAAAATTTCACAATTGACATTCAATACCGGATGCTTAGAAGTTGTTCATGTCTTTTTCCAATAAAGGCGGTTGTAGGTTCAAATCATAAGCGCCTCTTTGCCCTTCAGTTGACTTTACTTCTTTCCTTTATATGCTGATGCCCTCCTATCCTTGAGTTACTTATCATAAGGACCATTCATTCATTTTTTCAGCCTGTCA